CCGCCTTTCTTGTGAACAGCTACCTGACCAAGGCCGGCATCCCAACGCTTCCGCAGCCGCCCTACAGCCCAGATGTGGCCCCCCAGACTTTTTTTTGTCTCCTCGCCTGAAAAGGCCGATGAAAGGCAAGCATTTTGAGACGACAGAGGGGATCCAAGCAGCAGGCACCGCGGCTCTCAAGGCTATTCCGGAGAATGCCTTTCGTGACGCCTCCAATGCTTGGAAATCTCCCTTGCAGCGCTGCATCGACGCAGAGGGAGCCTATTTTGAAAGTTTTTAAAGATTTGTTACGATTGGCCCAATAAATTTTTTGAAATCGACTCAGTCCTATTACTTTCCGGACAAACCCTGTAATGTGCGAGAAGAGCAATGGCCTTCTCAAGTGGGGTTTTCACTACTGGTACATAAAATATTCGATTTTGCCTCATGATCATGACATTTTCAATTCAGTTTACAGTTACTTTGGATTGACTAGATCCTTGGTGTCAAACTGACAAACTCAAATTAACGGATGGAGTAGGCAGGTGATTCGGTTTGAACATTCTCCCGGATATCAAGGTACTCAAGAAGGATAAGTACACTAGGAGCTATACTCAACATTTCTCGTTTCTCAATCATTCTCTAGTATTTCGAAACATGGAGTTCAATTGTCAAACTATTACAATGAAGTTTACAGGATACAATTTTAAATAACTGTTATATACCTAGTTATTTTTTGTTTTCATTATTTAACCATGGTAGTAATGCTACTTCTTAATAGAACACTGCGGTCAACATCAGCTGTGCTGGTTATTAAACCCACTGACATAAACATGGGGAACGCAAAATTGGAGCAGGAGCTGAAGTCTAAATTCAGGCCGAGTCAACTAAATGCGAATGTTACTGGTACTAGACTCATTAGGGATGGCGTGCTAGTCAACTGTGCTGATGTCAAGTCGCTTCAAAATTTGAAAGATGGTCTCAAGAGGCAAGCTGGAAATGCATTTAATGTTTATGAGCCGAAAAAACTTCGTCCGAAGATTGTAGTCTACAGTGTTGATAAATCAGCTGCCGAGGATGCCCGCCTTTCTGAAATTATCATCGCAGATAATGAATTAGATGCTACGGAAGCTGATATTCGTGTGGTTACTAGTTTTAAATTTAAGGACGGTATCAATGTTGTCCTTGAAGTTACTCCTTCTATTTTTAAAAATGTTATGGGCAAAGGATTTTTATATATAGGTTGGAAAAGATGTAATGTAAAGGAGCATTTTAATGTTGCAAAATGTTTCAAGTGCTATAACTATGGGCATTATAAAAAAGATTGCAAGAGTTCAGCTACGATTTGTCCTCAATGTTCAGGAAATCATGAAAAGCGCGACTGCATTTCTTCTGATCTCTGTTGTATTAACTGTAAGACTTCCAACAATAAGTTTAAAACAAATTTTCCTACTGACCATTCAGCTAATAGCACTCAATGTTTGTGTTACCTTAACAAATTAGGACAACTTAAGGATAGAATTCAATATGAACAATAAAAACATAAAAATTGGCCACTTGAATTGCAGATCTATTTTCACTCATTTTGATTGTTTTGTTCATCTAGTATTGGACTTTGATGTTATGTGCGTTTCTGAAACTTGGTTGAACAGTGATATCTCTAGTGGAGCAGTTGGTATTCCAGGATTCTCTTTACTTAGAAATGATCGCTCTACCAGGGGTGGAGGAGTTGGGATCTATTTTAAAAACTCTATGGCTTGCAAGCAAATACTTCAAGATTTTGATGGTTTTCTGGGAATTGAGCACATCTGGTTGTCTATAAAAACGCATGGTGAGGTATTGATAATTGGTGTAATTTATAGGCCCCCATCAGTAAGCAATAATGATTTTTTGGATTATCTGGACAATGTCCTTTCCTTTATTACTCCCCAGTTTGATCACATTATAGTTCTTGGAGATTTCAACGTCGATCAATCGTATGATAACGAAGTCAATCATTGCTTTATTTCATATGATTTCTATCAACTCATTACAGAGTCAACTAGAATAACTGCCTTATCACAAACGATAATTGACTTAATTTTTACCAGTGCAAATGAAAGAGTTGTAAACTCGGGTGTTATTGATAGTTTTGGCATATCTGATCACAAAGCAATCTACTGTGAGCTCTCACACCGAACATCGCGTCCTAAGCCGTTCATATTAAAATACAGAGATTACAGAAATTTTTCGTATGATGCTTTCAATTCAGACTTAGTAAATTTACCTTGGAATGATATTTTCTATATAAATAATCTCGATGATAAAGTAGCGCTGTTTAATAATTTAATAGTCGATCTTTTTGACAGACATGCCCCTGTTAGAACCTCTCGCATAACAAAACCTTTTGCTCCGTGGGTTACCCCTAACCTCAAAGCTATGATGAAAAAAAGGGATCAAGCTTTGCAAAAGTATAAAAAATCCGCTAAACTGTTGGACTTTGCTATATATAAAGAATTACGCAATTCTGTGTGCTCTGCTTTGAGACATGAAAAAGCTGTATTTTTGTCATCAACACTAAACTATCGTAACTATAGGGATCTCTGGCAAGCAGTCAATCGCCTCAATATCAAAAGAAAACATAATACAGATATACCTCTACAGCTAAAAGAACCTTTTGAAATTAATAGTCATTTTCTTTCAGTCTTTAGTCCATCAAATAGCTGTCCTGAAGCTACTGCATTTTATAATTTAGCCAAATTTTCTAATATTTCTTTTTCTATTAATTTTGCTAATGTGGATGAAGTAAAAAAAACTGGTTCTTGATCTAACGTCTAGCGCATATGGTGTGAACGAAATTAGTGCAAAAATGCTACAATACTCTATTTCTGTAACTGCCCCATAACTCATATTATAAATTGCTGCATAGAGGTTGGTTATTATCCTAGTTTATGGAAATATGCTCTTATAAAACCTTTGCCCAAAATAAGCATACCGTCTGTATATAATGACTTAAGACCAATTAGTATACTGCCTGCTCTGTCTAAAGCAGTGGAGAAGGTGATCTATTTACAGTTATACGAATTTGTGATTTCTAACCAAATTATACCTGAATCACAGTCTGGATTCAGAAGGGGCTATAGCACAACTTCGCTCCTTTTAAATGTATCAGATGATATTATTAGATCTCTCGACGCTGGCCTTGCTACAGCTCTTGTATTTCTTGATTTTTCGAAGGCGTTTGATACGATTGATCACTGCTTACTTCTTGGAAAGTTACCTTCAGGGCCGTTACCAATGTGTTGTGGTTGATAATAGCTCGTATTCTGACTTCCAGCCTGTGACTTCTGGAGTCCCTCAAGGCTCCATATTAGGACCTTTGCCATTTATTATATATACGTCTGATATTTTTAAAACTATCACTTATTGCAAGATACAAGGTTATGCTGATGACACACAATTATACCTGTCGTTCGATCCTAGATTTATAAATACCGCATCTGCTTATATTAATCAAGATTTAGAAAATATCCAAAAATATTCATTTAATCACAACTTAAACCTCAATCCAGATAAATGTCAAGTTGTTATCTTCTCTCCGCCATGTTATGAAATTTTTATGCAGCATATCGACTTAACATTAAATGGAAAATCAGTCTCAGTAGTTAATAGTGCAAAGAATCTTGGTGTTATTTTCGACTGTAAGCTCAGATTTGAAGAGTATGTCTCACTATTAGTGAAAAAGACTTACCTAGTTTTAAGGCTACTGTATCGAAATGGTGGTATTTTGAATTTTAAATTACGTAAAAAGCTCTCAGAGAGCCTAGTATTACCTATTTTAAATCATGCAATCACGCTTTATTATCCCTTCTTAACGTCTATTTTGAAATACAGACTTCAAAAGGTACAAAATTGCTGTTGTAGATTTGTTTTTAGGCTCAAAAAGTTTGATCGAATCTCAGCTAAAATAAATGAGTTAAAATGGTTAAAACTGGAATATACTCATAAATATTATACTTCTATTTTAGTTCACCGTATTTTATCATCACAGAGCCCTGCTTACCTGAAAAGAAAATTAGTCTTTAGGCGTGATTTGCATGATTTAAATACGAGGTTCACTAATAAACTTTCTCTTCCTAAGTTTCGTTTATCTTTATTTAGAAAATCTTTTTCATATAATGCTGTTACTATATACAATAGTATCGATGACGCGCTTAAGTTTAGTTCTGTACCGATGTTTAAAGTCCTGGTAAGGCAATTTTATTACAATAGTCAATGTAATGGATAGTTCAATAGTTTTTGATTATATACTCTTCGCTTTGCGGTTTTGTGTCTTAGGCTTTTGTTTATTTTCATTCAAATTATCTCATATTTTCTATGCTATTTTGTATTTGATCACTTCTGATGATTGCATTTTATGTATTATCTGTGGCTTTCTTCATTGTTAGCTTTTATTTAGGGTTAAGTAGAGTAGCTTAGGCTAGACTTCGCCCTGTTGCAGATTTCTGTATTGTATATAACAATACTCAATAAAGACATAATATTAATAATAATAATAATAACGGTGATATATCGGGTTAGTAGCAAAAAAATGTTATTTTTGTATGTTACATAGAGCAAAACGACTTGAGACCATCTGTGGTCTATAAGAAATTGTAGCAGTAAAAAGCCACGCGACCAAGTAACGTGGCGATACAATCAGTCACTAACTGTTACTAACAAACCCATTAATTTGGATATAATCTGCAGTTACAGAAAAGTAGAAATCTTCATTAAGAGTATCAAATCGGTGGAACAAGCTTGCTGACAAATTGGTTAGGCATACTTTTTTATCTGCCATATGGGAACCGATTATTGAGAATGTTCAATAGGGGCACGCGCGTGTTGTGATAGAAAAAAAACCTGAAAAGGAAAAAGGGACTTGCCATATGTAGGATAACCTATATTGAAATAAGTTTTTTGGCACTATGGAGTGTATATTAGCCTGTTTTTTTTTACAAAATAGCTGATGAGAATGTATTCGATATACTCCATGTGACTTATTACAATCTCATTAAATGTACAGTCACTGGTTGTACAACTTGCATTAGTTTCTTAGTTTGTAGGATTATTAGTTCCAGAACACCTTCAAGCTGAAATTTTGTATTTTTAGTATATTATTTCTTGGAGAAGTCTGAAATATTTTTGATTTTCAAGCTTCTGATTAGTTTAGGGCATAGCAAATATTATGCAGGGTAGCAGTAATGACCCTAAGGTTTTTTGTCAACCTGAATCTGCTGAATATTACGTTTTTTTAGTATCCACTGAATCCACAACAGTCATATCCGTGAAGTGGTTCACAATTTGTACTTGTGCACAATTTGAAACAGCATATTACATTTAAAGTGCTAAATCAACCAGTAACTAAAAAAAAACTTTTTCCATCATGGTTAGCTAGACTTTCATAATCTGTACTCAAGTAAGTAGGTTCTTTAAACGATAAAAATGTTTTAAACATTGTGCATCTTATTATATCAATCACCATAATGATTCGGAGAACTAGATAAACAAGCGAGAATCATAGATACTCGCATACGTACAGATGTACACCCCTTGAGCGAGGCATAATTTGATCATCATAACATCTCATGCTCGACATGCCACTATCCATTTTGAGGTATCACCCTGTATAATAAATACTAGAACTAAATGAAGTTATAAAAATGTATGGCCCTTTTCATGGTTTTTGACGGTTATGTCATCAAAGTCATTCGAAATAAGTAAGCCAATGCTCCATAGGAAAAGTGCACACTGGGTAAACTGATCGTAAATGAAGTTGCTCCTGTACACTTAAATTGATTAACGTTCCAGTAATTTTGGCAAAAAGTATCAATATTGTCCTTTAATTGTAACTTCAGGTATGTTTTTTACTACGAAGGAACATGACGGGCCCCTATTCTCTGAGACTCAAGCTTCGACCTTCTAGCGAAGTTGAATATTCCCCTGAGTTCCACCTGCTTAACATTCTAAGGATCCAATGTGTTGGACTTCAGTATAGTCAGCCTGTAGTAACTCGCAGCGACACAGAACATGCGACGTTGATTCCTCCTCTATCTCGCAGCGCTCACACATCGGATCCTCAGCCACCCCACCAGTCCCATCAATAACCCTAGGTTGCCTCTACCCAAAGATACACAAAAGCGTCCCTAAGATGGGCTCGTGAGCCTGACGTGGATGTCTAGAGATACTTCTCCATTTCAGATATCCACTTCCCCGTTATCCTCCTGACTTGCGCGAGCGCCTCTGGGGCTGGCTCAGGTCCAACAAGCATGCCCGCTAATTCTGCTTCAGCAAGAGATAGGTGAGTTCAAAATCGTACGCTCATATCAAGTTAGTTGTGACACCGCCAGTGACAAACATGGGAATTTTTTTTTATACTCCAACTACCACGAAGGTCTAAGGCCTAAGCACCCATTGGGTACCGTGGGGCTATAGGGGATACATGGGAAAGGGGGGGGGGGACGCCACACGGACTCTGGCGAGGGAACACGTGTGCATGCAACATGCACACATTCTGGCTCCGCCTACGAGAACCGCCGGGTGGTACCTCCGCGTTCGACAGTTAGAGACCATCTACCACCTACGGACAATCACAACATCCATAGCCAAGAGAAAAATTTCTCCTGGGACGGGACTCGAACCCGCACAGCGCACGGTGACTGATCAGGAGACCGAAGAGTCTACTACTGCGGCCACCGCTGCTGTCTAATGCTCATACGTTGGTGAGAAAATTTTTGAGGTGGCGAGACAAACCTTAAGAATGGCCGAGCTTGCTCAAACAAACGTTCGTGCACAGAGGCAGATTGCATTTGTATAATAAGTATAATAATAGTGACAATAATAGTAATAATAATAATAATACTTAATAATAAAAAATTATTGCCCAACGGCCTCCCATTTGCGGTATAATAATGCATAAGCATACATTAAAACTAAACTAAATAAAAAAAAACAATAAATGAATGATGATAAAGAATCATCAAAGAGTACGCGACTCCAGAAAAAATATATAGAATTTTTTACGTTATGTCACATCAGTACATTTAATCTCTATAAAAAAGTATAAAGCACATATTTACAGTAAACATATAATGAAAGTCAAATGCTACACATATTAAGAAAAGATAGCCAAATAGCCCGAATTCATATATATGATTTCTCGGTCCAAGTACAAACCATCGTAATTCAGTATTTTTGAAGTACTGTCAAAACTTGTATCACAAACACCAGAAATTAAAATTCTCACACATGGTTGTTACCGGCAACTTTAGAAGCCAATTCTGTCACAACAGTAGGGCTTGGTATTTCTAGTTCTCAAACAAGGCATAAAGAAATTAATCCTAGATAAAATTACGCTGGCATCGTTATGATGTAAGAGCTTATACAAAATTTTTAGAGAATTAAAATATGCGTAAAAAAAAGTGCCGGCAGTTTCAGTGTGACCAGCCAAAAATCGTGAAAGAAACTATAGATACTCATATACAAACACCCTTTTAACAAGATGTGCAGTCGCCATAACCTGGAAGAGCCGCCATGATATCGAAAACTGAGCCATACGTGCAGATTTAGGGTTGATAGAGGGTGCGTAGCCGAGGCGGTTGTGCCGTTGCCTATCCCAACAACCCCACACATGCATTTTCATTCATGATTCCGAGCGGGAGCGCGCGAGGGTGTGGAACAAATATCGTCGCCCGCTTGCCGAAGGGGGATGGAGCATACATGCACATACGAACGTACACAACAGCAGAGACATTGAGGAGCGGTTTTATGTGCAACAAAAATAACAGACCATCCTGACTTCGGCCTCCTATCTTAACCGTGTTGAATTTTGTATTTCCAGAGCTGGCCGATACGACCGCTCCTTTATCGCTAGGCTATCTAGACTGTGGAACAATCTACATGAGGAAGCTTTTCCCAGTTCTACTAACCTTAGGCAACGCAAAAATCCGATTTACAAAGTTCCTCCTAACAGCTGCGGCGCCCTGGTATTTCGGCCTCTTTCAACGCGACTGCTTCGGCATAAAAAGCGCTAGCAGATCGCAATTTGACATAATAAAATGCTGCCTGACATTAGAGAGTTTCAGTGCAACAAAAATGATAAATCGTTAAGCCTTCCGCCATGTTATTTTTGGCAGCGATAGCAAATAAGGATTGTTGGAAAAAGAAGAATTTCTAATCCCTCACGTTTATCTGGCGGAATCAAACCACATATGTCCAAAATTCATCTTAGTTATACGACGTTTCGGTCCTAATAGTGACCTTCGTGGGGTACAATTGATTATAATATATTTTATACATCAGTCTTCCAGGTGACACTTCGTTAGTTTTCCTCTTTCATTTTTGCATTCTTGTACAGTATGTTTCTACAACAATTTGAAAGATCCTGCAACATACTGAGATTAGGTGAAGCCAAGATTCCAATTCTAATATGGCATTACACAAAACTAGCAAAGCTCAGGATTACCTTGTAAGAATTCCCGTTCGCAAAAGGACATCTATCTCTCCAAAGCGACGAGCGGACATGAGGTGATCTGTCATTTTCTAATACACCAGACACGCCACCCCTCGTCAATCAACCAGAAAATGCCAAAAGTCTTCCGAAAATGCGAAAACCTACCCATAACTGTTGTCGTAACATGCCGCTTAATTGTTTCGCAATCTTCGACTAAGACGCTGCATATGCATTGTGAGAAATAATACTTCGACATTTAAAGCGAACCATGTTGTTTGCCTTGTGATGGCAAAGTGAAACATCAAACAAGAACCAGGATAAAAATCTCATGGTTTATTTGTTAGGCTATAGAGTATCAATTTGATCTTCCTCTGAAGGATACTCAACCAAATTGTGTCGCACTGTACAGAAGAACTAGAACGACCACTGTTGTTCAATCATACAAAAAAATAGGCTGATTCTTTTACCTTCCTCTTGTAGTTGTTGTCCTTTTTGAGTTTTCACGACCCACTAATGTGTAGCGTGGGAACTTGACAATACAGTCATGGCAGATTGCTTGCTTCCTTTCGATGACGTGAATCTAACCCCAAAATTCCAGAGCCATGTTAGCTTTTTTCGTCGAAAAGTTTCAGTGATACTTGTGTCCTAACTGGGTAACAAACGAACAGGTAATCATAGAACCACAGAACGAAAAATGACTAAAAAGCCAGCAAACCTGCAATAAAAGGCTACCTTGCCAAATTTTATATACAGGGAAAACCAACGTTGCCTGACGGCTTGAGTTCAATGTGTACGATAGAGACGCGCGAGAAGTGTGTATCAAGACGTGTTAGAAAGATTTAGAAGCTGAATATCATCACGAAATTGCCTAGCAACGGTGACGCAGAAGATCGTTCAATCAGCCGTGTTGCCAATATGTTACAGCAGACAATGTTCACACACACTGGCTTCTTCAATAGGTGAGGTTACTATCCCACGAACATTTAATTTAATATTTTGTTTTCATTTTCATTAGAATTATTTATTTCAACTTAGATGCGACTTAGTGTCATTAAAATCAACACAGCCTGAGCTATTGTTACATTTTGTGTCACCGAGTGGTCGAAATATGTATCAAATACTATTACGCAATACAAATATTCTCATTTCCAAGTAGGATAGCAGTTCCCAATGAGCACTAGATGGGCACTGACCAAAATCGCTCATCAATGATCATGGAGGTTTAAACCTTGCACTAATCCGGAATCGATCCTAAACAGATGCGACACAATTCGCAATTAAAAGATGTGTACGATCAAAATAAAACCATGATTTGGGCTTAGAGAATAAACTAACGCATATTTTAACAACGTGCACCTTAATTCAAGTAACTCGTGTAATATATTGGCAACGCGGTGATAAGCCGGCGTCCATCTCTTCCTAACATATGGATCTATACACACTTCTTTCTCGTACACATTGAACTCAAGCCATCAGACAAATTTGGTACTCAGTGTATATAACAAAAATCAGTGCGGTTTTATTTATTTAGAACACTACTTATTTCTTACATTTATTTTCTCTCTGATTAAACACTTATATTTGTACTATACTTTAACCACTATGTTCTTAAAAGTTGAAATCATTTTGATTAATCTTACA